AGCTGTGTCATCTTCTGAGCTACAGACAAGGGACATTTTATATTTATGTCAAACTACAATCAAGAAACTGAACTCGACATCTTTATTGCAAGACTTGCTGCAACCAAAGATGGAGGGGAGATTTGTCAAACCCACAGTGCCACACTCTTATGAGAGGTTAAAGGGACCTGGGCACCTCTGGCGCTTTTGAAAACTTTTCCCACAGTCTCTTGGAAAAGACTTTTTTTTGCATGTGGTTTTGCATGTTCCTGATAGAGTTCACTCGCACACTCACTGAGGCAATGATGAAGGTCACTTGCAAAGAATATCTGGTGGTAGTGAGGTTATGGATCATTAATGACTAGATGTCCTGGAATGGAGGTCTTTAGAGAAAAAATCTATTGATATGATATCGAAAATGTCGAAGCTACATGCAACTGCGAAGGATGAAAATGTGCAGCGCAAACAGATCTTGAGAGCACTAGTGCAAAAAGCCACCCAAAGACTGTCTCCAGGTGCTTGGTCAGGGATGTTTGCCCCTGCTCTCATTCTGGAGTGGTTTTGTTTATAAATCCCTGCCAGTGAAGCTGTATTTCAGGATCATTCCCTTTAAGAAGCACAAATAGGATGGCGCAGATGCTCTGCTGCAGGCTGGCACGTGCAGCCAGCGCTCTCCACCGCGACACGCATCAGCTTAACAGAGGACTGGTCCTCTTCTGAAAATTTCAGCCAATTTAAGACTCCCTCATCCCCCTCCCTCCGACTCCTGGGGTTTTCCAGACCCCGGGAAGGCTTTCCCTTCCCCTTCGCCAATGCCCCCAAGAAGTCTTGTAGGTCAATATACTAAGCAGAGGAGCTAGGAGCTGACTGTCTCTTACCTTTGGTTTTAAAAGCAAAGTTACAGTACTTGCAGACATATGGCCTGACGTCTGTGTGCGTGCGAATGTGTTTCTTCAGCATGCTGGGTTTCTTGCAGCGAATTCCACACTCCTCACATACATACTTCCCTCTTCCACGGCCTCGCACATACACATACTCTTCGTTTGATTTGTACCTATGAGCAACAGGTGTCATGATAAAAAAAAAAAAAAAAAGAAGATTCCCACCTCAAAAGTAGTCACAACTTTCCTGGATTAATTCAGCATGTTATTGACACCACTGGTCTCATTTACCATTTACTAGCTCTGGGTAATTAGGCTAAATTCAAAATATCTTCAAAAGCTTTTGCCCAGATGCCTACTTCCTCTTCTGGAATATGTTCTTATGTCCTACATCTGCTTCTCTGTACAGACAAATAGCCCAAAGTCTAGATAAGTCACACGGTCACCCAAATGTCCTGATTTTCCCCATCCTCAAACACAAACTGAGGCACTCATAATAGTCTGAATAAGATAAGTCACAGTCCAGCCTGGCTGCCTGAATCATCTCTCTCTCAGCCTATGCTGTGTTTTAAAATACGCACAGTCTGCCGCTGTACTATGCAAACTACTGAGAAAATACATCCTAGATAAACCTCTTGTGATACAACGTATCCCACCTATTGGGACAACAGTAAAAGCCATTTGAGAAGACTGTGATGCCACACTGCAAATTATGATGCCACACTGCACAGACTCCTGCTAGAATAAGACACCCAGAATGGACACAAAGAGAAGAAAACATCATTTTTTAAATATATTGTGCGAACACTAAATGTAAACACCACAGACTCCAGGCTCTTTTATCTTTGGCACAATATCATGACTAGGTTTACCCCAGAGAATGAGATTGGTCATCCTTCCTTCACATCGTATATTCATTTATTTTCTGTCCATGCATTAGTGCATAGGAAAGGCTACATGATATGGGTTTGAAAAATACTTGTGAGACTGAGACAAATCATTTAGCCTCCTGCCATTTAGTAAATGGAGTCTGTAATTTCCTGTACTCGCAGCACAAGAATAAGGTAACACAAAATTGGTCCCCTCAGATTTTTAAGAGGCCAAATTTTTGAAGCGTGGTACTTCTTGCAACTCGTTCTTCTATCCAGTATGAATTATGTCTGGTCTTCAGAAATCGCCAAACATCCACCTTTGAAAATCAGGCATTCTAAAGCATCTTAATAGGAGATCTGAAGACACACACCACCATCAGTCACCTTTTAGTATCTTCCCAATAAAGCCTATTCCAAACCAGAATGGTGAGAAAACAGCAGCCAGACTGAAGAGAAAATGAATAGAAACAGAAGCACTAGGAATAGCTTGAGCACTTAAATAAGTGAAGGTATAGTAAATCCTAAAAAACCTATGTATTTATAATGCAAAAAAGAAACATCATTTAAAAATGAGTGAAAAATACACAAAGATCATGAATTCAGCCCTGAACTGATAGGATGATAATGGCATGGTCTGCACAGGATGCATCCAAGAAAATACATCCCCGTTACCCACAAGTGTGGATTTAAAAGCAGGTAAGTCACACTGCATGAACGCCTTGATCTCCCACCCAGACAGAATACACGTGGCCTTGGCCCCGTTTTGTTTCATTCATTTAGGAAGTGTACAGGTTATTTAAATTCCATGTGTTTGGGGGACCTACTACACATGAAATCCAGAACAATCCTCCTGGGTGCCACATGGTAGATGTGAGTTCTGGACTAAACCCTTCCTCTCCTGCCAAGTCCTGGTCTCTGCCTCAAGGTCTTATCTGTAAGAGGCAGGCTGAGCCACTTCTTTGCTTCACAGGAGAGATGTGAGCAGATGCTTAAAAGATGATGAGCTGCTCATGCATCAAGGTGATGAGGTCACAGATCTCCTATGCAGGTTCAGACACAGACTAGAGAAGAGAGAGGAAAAAGGGGTGTCTAGATAGCCCCAATCTAGCCTGAAATACCAGTAGCAGCAACAGCATAACCAGGTCTTGGTGTCCAACAGCTACATGTGGGGGAACAGCTTGTATTTCTGTCCTTCAGCATCAGCAAAAGTTCTCCAGACCATAACCAGGGTCATCTGGTAGCCCAGATACTCTATTCTATCTCCTGTAACTGAAGCCACAGCAATGCCATCTACCCTGTGCCTTTCCCCGCTTCCCCCAAAAAAACCCACCAAAACCCCTTCATCACGAGGTTCTCATTATTTGTCCAGGGGGATCTGAGCTGGTGTCTGAAGAGCACACACTGACTGCCAGCCTCCACCCCAGTATGTCCAGCTATCTCCATTTAACTGTACAGATACCAGGGTACGCATAATTAATTGTTAGGGATCGCCAATGTCCCTTCTTCATTCAGTCAGTGACTTAACGCTAAAGCAGCAAAAGGAGCAAAAGGAACCGAGGAATCCTGATTTCTCTTCTGTTCAAATTTGTATTTGAAGCTTCCTTCTTTCCCTCCTTTCTTTCTGTCATTTCTTTCATCATTCTGGCTGGTAATCACCTTGCCATTTAAAAAATGAAACTGCTCCTTTATCAGCCTTGTACTTGCACTACCCTTAATTACACTCTCACATGGCAATCTCTAACCAAGTTCTTTGTGTCCAACAGTCCCTTCGTCAGCCTCATTAAAGCTATCAGGGCTGGCTCTTCCTGGATAAAAGGGATTTAATCTGAAATTAGACATTGCAGTTTATCTGACACTCTGTGAGACTGAGCCATCCTTTAACACAGATATTTTTCTACAGCTCCCTGAGACCATGTGTAAAACACACAGGGAAAGGAGAGAAACAGAAAAAGAAAGGTAACCTAAAGAAATACCAAACCAAACAAGAAGAAGGGAGCAAGGCAGGTGATACTGCCATAACATAGAGAAGGCTGCTGCAAATGCCATCTGTCTACAGTGAAGGCTATAATATGTTTATAGAGATAATTACTTCATAGGACGCTGGTTTCTCTGTGGATCCAATACGCTCATATGATTTGCATCAGAAAGACAAATCAATGACAGCTCACTTCATGTGAAGATTTACCCTGAACAAAGGATATTCCTGCTCTGTAACGTTTGCTGTAACCAGATCCCCGTAATATCCACAGTTGAAGTTTGTGTCAGCAAATCTGGGCGTCTCTTCCAGAGCACTGCGGAATCCATAATCCTGCAGTTAGCAGCTTACACCTCCTACAGTGTCACAGCTCCCATCTAATATTGAGATGATTTGAAACCCAGGAGGCTAACTGGCCATTATGAGCTCGGAGGCTAATTTAGGAAATAGTTCTTTCAAACAGACACACAAAAAGATAAAAATTCAGTTATTTGATGCATTTTTGAAAGGTTATTTGCTGTGTTCTGCTAGCAAATGCACATTTGTTGAATTTTGTGCAACCACTACAAACACTTTTTAGAGCAAGCGGAACTGGCACAGCCACAGCAGCATCAGTGCAACCGTAGGCAGTACCGGATTCAGAGACTTGATGGCCACGAAACAGGCCATCACTGTCAGGAGTCACAAGAAACCCAACAATGGGAAAACATGAACCTGGAGAAAGCTTTGTCTCAGCTCTTTCCCCTAAACTTAGTTGAAACCTAAAACCATGAAGCATTTATTCCTCTGCAGGCCTTAGGAGGCTTAGTTCTTAATATTTGCTGTTACAAAAATCTGACTATCCTTTTTAGCCACAGACACTTCTTTTTTTTTTCTCAGCACTGTGAGCCACAGCCAAAATCTTCATGTGGCTGAAAACCACACGATAAAACCTTGGAGAGCAGAGGGGAAGGAAGTTTGGTGGTTCACAGGCAGGAAGGGAGAGCAGGTTTCTGGGGGACTCATTGCTTCACTATGAGACACAGTTGGGCTGAATCAACCCTTCTCTCCTGCTTTCTACAACCACCAGGAATTTACCTTGCCCTGCAAAGTCTTTGCTGATGTGACCTTGCTGGTCACAGTCACAGCACAGCTGCTGCACTTACATTATTTGGAAGTCACATGTAGGCAGCCTGATGTTGTGAATTTCCAGAATTTGAAGCTCGATAATGTATTATGGTAAAGAACACCCCTGGTTAGTTTTGCAGCAACTGAACAAGTATTTCCTCGACTGGTTTTGACATTTGTTAAACTCACTTGTTTGCTTTTTGGATTTCTGGTACATAGTAACCGGAATTGGATATCTGATCCCTTTCCTGAGCTGCTGCATTTAGTTCAATGAACATTTAGTCAAATGAACCGAGTAGCTCCAGTTGTTGCCTTTGGTGTAAGTCTTCTGGTTTTATTGATGGCACATTTTATCTGTCGTCAGGCTGCCCACTCATCTGGCTTGGCTAAATCCTTCGGAAGTTCCTGACAGTCTGCCCTGGTATTAACTAATCTAATTTATGTTTTCTGCCACCCACAAAATTTGCCAGATCGCTGATAAATGCGTAGCTACTATAATGTCACTAATTACTAGTAAGTTTATTGCCTTTCTCACAGCTACTAGATGATTAGACCACTTTTTCCACGGCGACACCTGCAATACCCACTCTGAAACCGCATGTGCAGCAGCAGCCCTCAGCCTTACCCACTGCATACCCTGGGGAATCACAGGGTGGGAGACCCTACAAGACTTCAGCCTATGTTAAGGATCACCACACACAGAGGTGTGTCCTTAAGGCCAGACAGTTACTGTGAGATCTCCCTTAACTCAAGCCAAGCTACAGCAGAACAAACAGAAGGATTTCTTTACAAAATCCAGACCAGACAATGTCATTTCCAGGTTTCTAAAAGCATCATAAAACCTTCTAGTATCCCAATTTACCAGACAGGGATATTGCACCAAGACAAACAACGAACTTCCAAAGAATGATACAGGAAGACAGAGAAAGGGCTGGGTATGGATATGGGAGGACCTGGCACAGAAATTGCCTCTTCCCTGTCTGAAGTAATTGATCTTTTGCAAACAGCACTTGCCAATCTCCAGCGAAACTGCAGAAGACAAGAGTCTGAGCTGAATGAGACCCCACCACCCAGACTGGACAAACGCAAAGAAGCCTGGTATAAAGGTGTTACTATGAACATCATCTTGCCCTTGAATTAGGTATCAACAGCTCAAATAAAATTTAACACTGGAAGAATTACACTATCCAAGATGACCACCTCACTGGCAGCAAACCTG